GAAGGGCGAAGAGACCCTAGGGTGTAAGACCCAAAAGGTTCCCTAGGGATGCTTCATGCGTGAACCGGTGTGATTGATGATATTGTCCGTATGCGAGGCATGCATGATATTTGCAATGATGGTTTGACTTTAATTTATACATTGTATATTTCTAATGTTGAGGTGTTGGGAGATTTTTATAAATGCTTTATTTATTATCTTGTACCTGTATTTAATTATAGAAAGCTTTCATTACTTATTAGTATAATTTGTGGAATGTTGGTTTTTAAAACTTTAAAAATACTTGAAAAAAGGATTATCCTACTGAGTGTGTGGTTGCTCATCCCTTACTAATATTTTCAAAGACTAGCATGCATCTTGGGGCATAAGTGATGAAATGCTTGTAGGAGTTTGGACTAGAAAGAATCTCTTTTGAAATTTTTTGTATTTACTTTTAGAACTTATATAGAAATGTTAGCAATCAAGCATTGTATTTGAAAAGGTGGTCTTGAGGCATTTTTGGTGTACACTTGATCATCCCATAGAGGGATTATTATTTTGGGTGTTGTAATGTAAATTTATGACTTTTGGTACTAAGTTATGGTATATATTAGTGTTGGATGTATTCGGGTTTGGGAGGACTTCGTGAGCCTCTAATTGCCACCCCGAATTTAGTTGGATTATATTTTTAGATTGAGGCATGTTGTGGATGTTTAGTTAGTTTAAATTATGTTATGCTGTCACAGGGATACTCTTACTAACTGGTTGGAAGCCCAATTTTCAAAAGAAACTCTGCTGAAATTTTCAAAAAAAAAAAAAATTGATTTATTTCAACTAAAGAGATATTTTCCTAGATGTTTTTACAACATACCGGCATGTGTTTTTTTTTAAATAAACAAAGCGTTTGTTTTAATCACACTTTAATAAAATTTGGGACGTGACATAATCATTCAGACCGCCTAACATTGAAAATATTACACGCAGACTCCCTAAAGTTTATACACGCATAACACTTAAATCCCTGTTATAAATATATTCATTAATAAATTACATCTAGACACCCTAAAATTTGTAAACATTTATTTTATTATTAATTTTTTAAAATTGCACTGTATCATATGATACATGATACGATACACTATTTTAAAAAATGATACACCTTCTAATACGCGATTTTCCAAACGCACTCTTAGAGTGTGCTTGGAATGACATATGAAATCCAAAAAATACTTTTTTAATAAATGTTTATCAAAAGTGTTTATAAGAAACATACTTTTATTAAATAAGTATTGTTCAGAAATTCAAATTTTAAAATACTTAAATTAATATATTTTATAAAAAGTATATTTGGATGTGAAAATACTTATTTGTGTCACAATTGTTAATAACATTGAATACACATATACAAACATATACTACACATATAATGATACACAAATATATATATATATATATATATATATATATATATATATATATATATATATATATATATATATATCATACACAAAAATATCATATTAATAAATGTATCATACGAAAAAAATTATATAATCCAACTATCCCAATAACATACTAAAGTCGCAAAACACATTGTTAATAGTAAATACAATCAAAAATCATACTTGATTGTCTCTTAGAATTATTGATTCAATACGTTCTTTCTTTTTATATATTGGATTTGTATATGACAAATCAATATTCTTAATAAATATATTCCATGTCTGATCATCACACAAGACACCTTCTATTATAGGGTCAATAATTACTTCAGTATGATTAGTCAATTTGTGTCATAACTTCCATACATCCTTAGTAATAGGAAAGTGATTCTTCAATTGTTTTTTATCATACATGACATTTTCTTTTGCCACAAACTCATCTATAATATTTTTTCAACCTCGCTTGTTAAAACTAGTAGTGGGTCGATTCCCTTTATCCACCTCTTTAACACATAACTCAAAAAGAGTTTTATGTCGCTCCACAGTCAAGTTTACTTTATCTTTGTCAAACTTAGAACTACTAAAAACTATCTAAAATAACATCACAAAATACATAAGTTATTAGCAACGTGTATAATAATAATTAACCTGAACAAAATATTGTATAAATTTCATACATATTTTCTTCTACATGGGCATGATAGGCACAATGAAGAGTTAACATCGAGCTAACAAAGACACACACACAAATACACGCACACACAACAAAATCATTATATATATATATACACACACAATAAGAAAACATAAAAACAACACAATTCGAAGCGCTGCGCAAGAGGTATCTTCGAGAAAGGGGATGAGCCATTGGAGAAAGCATCCTAATTCTAGCATTCTAAAGTGTATCTTTTTTTTTAATTTTTTTTCCAATTTGGTGTGTGGTGGTGGTGCCCAACAAATCAAATCCATTCGAGATCTTCTCCAAAATCACACAAAGCGGCCCATTTAAAATCAGTGTATGATATTTGGAGTGCGTTTAATAATATTTTCGTTTTTATGAGTTTTTTTATAAAAAAAAATAAAGTAAATTTTTATTTTTTTTGTAATAAAAATTAAAAATACAAAACAAGTTATTTATATTTAAAAAATTATAAAAATAAAAATAAAAAATATGTTTGGAATTATTCCAAAAATTCACCACACAACACCACCGCCAAACACCCAACCACCACCACCACCATCCCCATCCCCTGAAACCCAGCACCACCCAACAACACCCATTTTCGAGACCACTTCAATATTCCTATCCTCATCATCAAAGAAAAGCATTGAATCAAATGGTATCCCAGTTTTCCTATGAATTCTTTGGAAATGCTCCGTTTTGTGTGTCCAACTGGAGAATATCTCCTCAGCCACAGATATGGATCGGATTCCCAATCTGTCAAGAAATGTTGTTGCTATCCCAAGAGTTGGTGATCTAGAAGCAATAGCCATATCAATTCCTTTGTCCTTAAGAGCGTATAATATTCTGGTAGCTTGTGGAAACAATGATGGCATTTCATCTTCATATCAGCACTCACAGTAACAAGGCCAGAGAGTGTAATCGAGATCGAAGACGATGAGACGAGGCAGGTTCCTATAGAGTTCGATTATCTGCAGAGCCTCTTCTTTCCCCGAAACACACCCCCATCCCCGAAACCCACTCCCATCCCCTGAAACCCACTACCACCGAAACCCATCCCTATCCCCGAAATCCACCCCCATCCCCGAAACCCAGCACCACCCAACCCACCACCATTCCTGAAACCCACCGCCAACACCCCCCCCCCACCCAAAAACCCATCACCACCACCAAAATAGAGCAGGTTGAGAGAGAGAGAGAGAGGAGATCTGAAAAAAAAAAAAAAAAAAGTGAAGGGGCTTTTTATATACTCAACCGAGGAAATCATTTTTTTGTTTATAGGGGAATCGAAACTAATATCTCATTAAAACCCTTTTGAATATGTGTGTTTGTGTTTTTTTTTTTTTTTTTGATGTTTTCAAAAAATTGTTTTAGATGATTCTATATTTTAGCCTTATTTTTAAAACAGGAGAATTCAAAAATAAATAAAAACATTCATCAAACACATTTTTATATTTTTTTACTATAAATGAAAACAAAAACAAAAAAAAAAAAATAACAGGTTATCAAACACTACCTTGATTACTCTGTAATTTTATGCACTTCCAATGCAACCATATTATTCCAATGCAGTCATATTATATAGATACTAGTTATTGCATGTAGTTGAAGGGACAAAGTAATAAAAATTGATAAATAATAAATATATTTATATTTATATTTAAAATCAAATCACAAATATAAAAAAAGAAAAAAAATTTAAATATCGATTTGTGGTAGCGGGGGCGGTGGCAGTGGCGGTGGTGGTGGTGGCGGCGACGGCGATGGTGGTGGTAGTGATGGCGTCGATGCCAGTGGTGGGAGTGGTGGTGGTAGAGGCGGGTGGTGGTGGCGGGTGGTGACAACAATGGCGACAACAATGGTGGGAGGGTAATAAATGTGGTGGTGGGACAGTTTCAAACATTTTTTTTTGTAAAGTATTTATGAAAAATAATTTATAAAAATATTTTTTTAAAAAATCACTCTAAACACACTTTATGAGTCTATTTTTCTATTAAAATTATTTTGTTTATCTTTTAAGATTTGAATTATAAATTATTTTATTATATAAATATAGATATATTATAAACATATGCACATATAGGCGAATTGAAGGCTAACCATATTTTTGAAGCCAGACACTCCCAGACCAAAATTACCACCTCCCCCGCATGCGCAGCCGCCATTTAATTTTATTACTAAATTAAACTCACTCAATTTTCCATGAATCTGCAGGTGATAAATCAGATCATGCTGCAAAACTAATGGTCCTACCACCATACCCATTACAACCCTCAAAGTTCAGAGGATTTTTGAATTTTTTTTTTTTAAAAAAAGAAGCAGAAAAAAGGCAGTTTAAAGAGAAAAATTCAGGCATCGGTGTATCGGGTGAAGCAAGTAAAACTAAAAGGAAACAGAAGCTGGTGCAATAATTGGGGTGCCTCCTTTATAGCAATACACAATGATTCTAAAAAAGGAAACAGAAGCTGTTATTGATTCTCAAAAAGGCCAATACCAGAAGAGTTATTCATAGTTCTCCCAGCAAGAGGTGCTTACGAGCCGCGCTTGACAATCCTTGGTGTGCTGGTTCCTATTGTTGAAGGGGTGGATTTGACTCGGGCTCCCATACCAAGCTTAAATTTTTGTTTTAGACTCGGCTCATTGAGAAAACAAACAGTTCAGGCTGCATTCGTCCACCCTCATTTTTTAGTGCGAGCTTGAAACCGAACTCAAACTCAGATATAACAATGATAACCAAGTTAAGGGGATCAAGCACAAAACAATCAGATCCAAACCAACCAAACAGTAACACACAATCACAGAACATATAAACCCAGAAACTAAAACCCCGAATTTTAATTCTAAAAGTGTTGGGAAAAATGTAAATAATGTAGGCAGCTAAGCATAATAAAGAGTAGTTAATGAGCTGTGGGTCTGAGATGAAGGCATGCAGAACTGAGAGCTTGAGCTGCGCAGCTGAGCTGAATGTTTTCAAAGCTGAGAGCTTGAGCTGATAGCTGGGAAAAACTATCTGATAAGGCTGAGAATACTATCGGATAAGGTAGTTGAAAGGGTTGCCGCAGAATATTAATGGTCAGAGGATAAGCTGACTTGATAGGTAATTGCAGCAATTGAAAGGCAGAGCTACTTATCTCATAAGGTAGTGGAACCGACACCGAAGCCAGAGAGATAGCCCAATGTATCTGCCCAGAAGCAGAAAAACTTTCTAAGAAACAAAAAACTCTGCCTTGGGATAGGCATGACAATGGCGATTCAAGTCCATATTTCTCCTCCCTAAAACGATGTTGAAGATGAATATCCAGCAGAATTTCTTCATTGAATCGAGTAATCTTCGCAAATCCATGGAGAAGATGAATATCCAGCTCTGTTGCAGAAAGACAGCCATCGAAAGGTAAAGAAACCCAAGGCCAGAAGGCATTTAGAGGTCTCTTAAGCTTCAGATGAATGACTATCCAAAAGCTAGAGATCTTGAGAAGACACCTCTGCAGAAAGACAACCTCTGAGCTATGAACAGAAAGATCCATTGAAGAACGAAGAAAATTATCCAAAAAAATATCAAGATTCTGAAGAGACTCCTCAAGTGAAAAACTCTGGATTGAATCCTGTGAAGCAGTCTGTAGAGATTTCCATTGAACTAGACTCCCAAACAACCAGCGCATGAAAATGGATGAAATACAAGCCCACTGGAGAGAAGTCCAATGCAAAGACCACTGGAAATTGAGAAGGATCCCAGCAGGCAAGTGAAGCAAATTCCAAAACGGATCCTTCGATCTTTGATGCACAATTTGAACATCTTGTTCTCTGTTGAGAAAGAGACAAAGCCACCCAGAAAAAGGTGCAATGAAAAGTCGTCCAAGCTCTATTATTCCCAACAGTCAAATACTAATACAAAAAGGAGCAACAGCCTTGAAGAACAGGCCACAGATAACCAGCAGATCCATGTAGAAGTCTCTGCACAATGATGGCCTGAACCATGAACAGAGATTGCAAGAGCATGGGGAGAGGCCAATTCCTGAGAAAAGAAGTCCTTGAAGCAAAAGGTACTGCCTCCTATCTTCTATTACATGAGTCATGTACTTCTGTTCATCCCTAGGTCTAGATGAACCCAGGATTTCTTCTGCCTTACTATTTTAGTCTGCCTCTGATCTTGTAAAAGTAGAGCTCTTGCTTGTGATGGTAATGAAATTGATGAAATAATGTGTGTATCTGCCTTGTCTAGAACCCCTTTCCTGGCCAAATAATCGGCCACCATGTTGCCCTCTCTAAATGTATGAACCAATGTACATGTCAAATTACCCAACCTCCTAGAGATTCGAGTAATTAGGTCCATGAGTTTCCATGGAATACGTATTTTCCCAGCAATCATGTCTAACAGTACTTGTGAATCTGACTCGATTATGAGTGGATAGACAAGTAAACCATACTCTTCCAAACCATCCAAAATAGCTCTTCCTTCAGCTTCCAGATTAGTACCCTTCCCATAATAAAATGAAACTGCAATCACCAGCTGTCCCCACTGATTTCATAGAACTGCCCCTCCCCAGCCTCTCCTGGATTTCCATGAGAGGCTCCATCCGAATTAATTTTGAGGGAACCCTCTGGAGGGAACTCCCAGTTAATCCATCGAGCTGTTCATACCAAAGTAGTATTAGCTGGCACCTGTAATTCAGATAGTAGTAGTTTACCTTGACGACAGTCAGCAGCTCTAGGCCTCACTACATGCCCTTGCAACTTTAAGTAATATTATACAATAGAAACCATACATGATGCATGTAGCTTAGCTCCCTCAAATAATGTCCTGCACCTTTCCCTCCACAACTTCCAGTAAATTAGAAGTGATATGCCTCTAATTAGAGAATGACTGTAGGATTTCTTAGGAAAAGCCCTGTTCAGTCTAAAAAATCTCATCATAGGTGCCTCATGCTGAATTTAACAAAATCCCCTTTTATTTGCAAACTTGTTCCACACCTCCATTGCATATGCACATTCAATAAACATGTGTAAGTAGGACTCCTCCCCCTCACCACACAATGGGCATTTACTGGCCAAGGAGACCCCTATATTTTGGAAAACTTCATCCATAAGTAAGACATCCTAAACCCCAGTGTTATGAAAAGCGTGCCTAGGCGCTCACCTAGGCGAGGCGAGGCGAGAGTAGCTCGCCTGGAGGACTTCAGACGAAGCGAACATGAGCGAAGCGAGAAAAAAGCGAGAAAAAACGAAGAAGCGAAAAAAGCGAAAAAGCGTTCGCTTTTGTTATAAGAGGCGAAATATTTTATTTTTAATTTAGACCGTTGGATTGGGCGATTGCAAAAAAAATTATAAGATGTTGATGTACCGAATTATTCCCTTATCCTATAAATACAACCCTTAACCTAATTTTTTCTCAAATAGGCTTCGATTGGTGCTGCTGCTCCATTGCTACATGATCGGACAAGGCTTCGATTCTTTCTCGATTGGTGCTGCTCCACTGCTACGCGATCGGACAAGGCTTCGATTTTTCACAAGCTGGTGCTGCTCCACTGCTACAAGATCGCTGGACAAGGCTTCGATTTTTTCGGTGCTTCTACACCATCGTTGTTGCTGGACAGAGATATCGCTAGTCTGGACTGTGTCTCTTCTTCTTCTCTCTTCTACTCCTTCACCGATTCTGCTTATGCTCCTTTTTTTTTTTTCCTGCTCTGATTCTGCCCTATTCTACTCTATTTTTTTATTTATCTGCTACTCCGATTGTGCTTCTTTTTCTTTTTTTTTTGTCATTATGCTTCTGTTTTTTTTTTTTTCACTTTTTCCTTATGTTGCTGTCCAGACTCCAGTCCATATGAAGATCCCGCTGTCCAGTCCAGTCTATATGAAAATCTTATAAAAATCTAAGGAATTAAAGCCAAATGTAAGCCTAGACAAAAAAAAAATGGTGAATGAAATGGTCTGTTAAAACCAAATGTAAGCCTAGACAAATCCCGTTGTCCAGGCCAGTCTGTTATTTGGCCATGCCATGAATGGGATTTCAGATTTCTTCATTAAATACCACTTCTTGGCAACTACTCCTTTGATTGTAGTGTGATAGTGTTATTCATAAACAAATAAATGACATCGTCGTCCGAAGGGAACAAAAAGATCCGGCATGAAAATATGCACACTTGGTAAATCCTCAAAACACAAACAAGTTCAAATGCAATTTTTGTGGAAGAGTCAAATAGAGGTGTCTATCGGGTCAAGCAACACCTAGCGGGGAACTCTACGAGTGTTATTACTTGTCCAAAATGCCCTGCTCATGTTAGGGAGGAGATTAGAGAACACGTGGCTAAAAAAAAGGAAGAGAAGAATCTAATGAATATGGTTCCCGACTTTGATGAGATGCCTAATGACTTGGAGGAGGATGAAGATGATATTGTAGAGATTGTTGCGAATCGTAAAAGATCCATGGCTAGTTCTAGTCAAGGTTCTACACAAGCCACATCGAGACCAAAAAAGTCAAGACAAAAAGGGCCTGTGGATGTATACTTCACCCCTGATCCGAATGTTGTGGTGCAAAATCGAAAGACTAAGAGGAGACAAACGAATATTGATGCCAACGATCCTTTTAGAAAGGAAATGAGAGAAAGAGCCATCACAACATTTGCCCGATGAATGTATGACACAGGAATTCCCTTTAATGTTGTGAACTATGAAAGTTTTGCAGCAATGGTTGAAGCTTTTGGACAGTATGGTTCTGGTTTGAAACCCCCTTCTTACCATGAGGTTCGGGTCCCATTGCTCAACAAAAAAATAGGACGTATAAAGTCATTGATGAAAGATCACCAAGAGGATTGGGCAAAATATGGATGTTCCATAATAGCCGATGGATAGACTGACAAGAGAAAGAGAACCTTGATTAATTTCTTAATGAATTGTCCAAAAGGGACCATGTTCTTTGAATCTGTTGATGTTTTTGCATACTCAAAGGATGGACAAAAAATGTTTGAATTGCTTGATAATTTTGTGGAACGTATTGGTGAAGCTAATGTGATTCAAATTGTCACTAACAGTGCGGCAACAAATATATTAGCAGGTATGAGCTTCTTGAAAAAAAAAATATAACTACTTGTTATATTGAATTTTTTTATGCACACTAGTTGATAAAAAAATCTTTATTTAATAGGTAAGTTTTTGGAGGCAAAACGACCCAACCTATATTGGACGCCAACTCAGTTGAATATGATGAAACGATTTACCCAGTCAAGGGAGTTGATTAAGCCCGCAAAAATTAGATTTGCTACGGCTTTTCTTACTCTAACAAGGATCAACCAACAAAAAGGTAACTTGAGAAAAATGTTCACTTCAGAGGAATGGATTACAAGCAAATGGGCAAAAGAACAACAAGGCAAAAAGACAGCACAAATCATTTTAATGCCTTCATTTTGGAGTAATGTTGTCTACTTTTTAAGCTTATTGGCCCTCTTGTTCGTGTGCTTCGATTGGTTGATTGTGAGAAAAAGCCTCCCATGGGATACATTTATGAAGCTATGGACCGCGATTGCTAATTCTTTTAATGGCAATGAAGAGAAGTACAAACACATCTTTGAAATCATTGACCGAAGGTGGGAAGTTCAATTGCATCGGCTTTTGCATACAGCTGAGTATTTTTTGAATCCAGAGTTTTTCTATTCCAATCCAGAGGTTGAGAAAGATCAAGAAGTCATGAATGGCCTATATAAATGTTTGGAAAAGTTGGTCCCAAATCCTGCGATACAAGATAAAATTGGTCAAGAGTTGAGTATGTGAAAACCTCTTTAAGTTGCCCATGGCGGTTAGACAAAGAACAACGAGGGCACCAGGTAATCTATGTTATCCCACAAGCTTATTTCATTATCATTGCTTAAATATGTTAGTTAATTAATTGATATTCATTATTCACAACAGATTGGTGGAGTGCATATGGGTCTGCAACTCCAAATTTGCAAACCTTTGCAAAAAAAATTTAAAACCTTACTTGTAGTGCATCCGATTGTGAGCGAAATTGAAGTGTGTTTGAGCATGTAAGTATCATCCTCAAACTTCTTCAATTACATTTTTTTTAATCTTATTATAAATTTTAATGTATTATTAATAAATTATTGCAGATACACACCAAAAAAAAAAAAAATAGACTAGCTCAATCCCGTCTCAATGATTTGGTGTTTGTTAAGTATAATAGAGCTTTGAGACGCCGATATGATTCCCGTGACACAATTGATCCAATATCTTTGAAGGATATCGATGATAGCAATGAGTGGTTGATTGGGAGAATGGATGCAGACACAAATGAAGATAATGAGCTTGTGTTTGGTGAAGATACTTTGACTTGGGGCGAAGTTGCTCAAGCTTCTGGAGTTACGGAAAGTAGCCAATGGACTAAATCAACACCATCTACTAGGTAACACCAAAGTTTACAAGATCGACGACTGGACTCATAGACGAGGAAGACATAATTTCAGAGGAGGATACTAAGGGATATGAATCTAAAGATAATGAAGAAGATGGTTTCTTTAGTGATGAGGATTGATTTCTAAGTCCTTGAGATATTTTCTTTAATTGATTGAATTGTGTGTCTTATGTTTTTAAATATTAGGATTTGAGATATTATTAGTGTTTGTATGAATTTAAATGTTTAAACTATGACTGTTATTAAGATTTGCAATATTATTAGTGTTTGTTTTAATTTAAATGTTTATGGTTTTACTTGCATTTAAATATTTAGTATATATAAAATTAAAACTTTGATGTGTATAAGTAATTACACTAAAATATTTATTTATTTTTTTACCTGCTCGCTTCGCTTTGGTAAATCGTTTCGTTTCGCTTCTCGCTTCTCGCCTAGGCGTTAGGAGCCTTAGTCGTTTTGGTTCGCTTAACGCCTTAAATAACACTGCTAAACCCTAAACCCTAAAACCTTAAAACCCTAAAACCCTAAAATCCCAAACCCTAAACCCTAAACCCTAAATCACCTAAACCTCCCTTAAACCCCAAACCCTAAACCCCAAACCCTAAAACCCCAAAACCCTTTTTTCACAAATGAAATTTTATTTATTTACGATGTAAAACATTTACAAGAAGCAAGGATAAGGCACAAAACACCTTTCCATAACAAGAAAACCGAAACTAAAAATGCAAGGCCAAAATGCTCCACTACCAAGCAACTAGCCAACATAAAATAAAACAAAGTTGAGCTAAATCCCAGCAAACAGCAAACAAATAGCAAATCTCAGCATAGACCAAGGCCTCCAAAACAACATCTCTTCCTCTTTCCATTTTCAAACAAATCAACACTAATCTTTGAAGGCCGAATCTGAGAACCATACTGTCCTAACCTTAGCCCTTATCATCAAAAACAGCTCTCTTCCTCTTATGCAAAACTAGGAGACCCTGCTGATAAGAACGAAGTGCCAAACCAACTTCAAAAGGCAATTGCAACCCCACCGAAAAGTCCACAGAACTTCTACTTTTAACCGCCTGCCCAGTAAGTCTATCAGCTACTGAATTTGCCTCTCAAAAGATATGAACCAAACGAAACTCCAGCCTTCCCAAAAAACCTTTAATCAGCCTCAAGTAATCCAGACAAGGCCATGGGCAAACACATATCCAGTACAGAATTTGCCAAGACCAAAGAGTCACATTCAATTTCCAAACAATAACAAGACAAACCATAATCAAAAACTACCTGCAGACCATCACATAATGCTCAGAACTCAGCAATCACGTTTGAGCAATCACCATAGTAAAAAGAGGCAGCAAGGACTATTTTGCTCCACTCATTCCTCACAACTGCACCTCCCCGTGCAACCCCTGGGTTATTTCTAGACGCCCCATCAGTGTTAAGTTTCAGCATACCAGCAGTAGGATTCATCCACTTCACCCACCTACATTTCAACTGGACATTAGATGATAAGTCAATTTGCAGAAAGCTTAACAGTGCTGAACCATTTGGACCATCCAGAACCTTCGGTTTAATGTTCCTAACTTGGAACCTGAGTATACTACAAATCCTCATGAAAACAGAATAAGAGATCAGCTTCCCATCCCTAGCAACTCACATGCATCTCTCTTTCCACAACTGCCAGTAGGTAATCAAAGCAAAACTCCTAATCAAACCATGACTCAAGGATTTCTTTTTAAAGATCCTACAAAGTCTTTGAAATTTCCCCAAAGGAGTCTCACCTTGAATAATCTGAAAACCCCCAATGGCAGCCAACTTCGACCAAACCACTTCAGCAAAAGGACAGTTCACAAAAAGATGAGATTCAAATTCCCATCTTGATAACACAAGGAACACCCACTCACAACTGAGACACCAATTCGCTTGAAATTAGAATCCATTGGTAAAGCCTTCATAAAAAATTTCCACCCAATCATCTGAGCACTTGGAGCAGTTTCAATCTTCCAAATCAATGACAGAAGATCATTAACACATCCCTGACTCCTAGCCAAGCCCCAGGCAGATTTCACCGAAAATTCTCCAGAATTATTATGTTGCCAAATGACTTTATCTAAACTTGAATTCAGACAAAGCCTCGAAGACAGAACCTCGTCCTTCAACTGCACCGTCAACCAGTCCTCAACCCCAGACAAATGCCAAGTATCATGAGACAGTAAATCAGCAACCTTCGGAAACACTAAAGGAACACATTCCATTCTACTAAGAAGAGCCCCTTTACCTGTCCAGTTGTCACAAAAGAAATCAGTCTATAGCCCATTTCCAATCAGCATTTTTGAAGAATTTACGACCTTCTCAAAGTAAGGCCTAAGTAACTCAAAACTGGGAGAATGAAATTTTCCCAGACAACGTAATATGCTCTTCCCCTTTAAAAACTTTGACTTAAACACTTCAGCCCACAATGAAGATCCTCCGAGTAAACTCCACACTTGCTTCATCCGAAGGGCAGACTGGATCTCTTCAAATTTCCTCAAGCCTAAACCCCCTTCCTTCCTAGGCATAGTTATCTTCCCCCAGGCTACCCAATGTCTTCTTCACACATTAAGCTTACTTGACCACACAAAACTGGCCATTAGGGAGTTCAGTTTTTTATTTTTTATTTTTTTAAACCAACATTTTATTCCATTTCTCAAAAAGTATTTATAAGAGAGAAAAGGCAGACAGACCCTGCCTAATCAAAACAGCCACACAGACCAAGCTTTACAATGAGGGAAAAGCAGACAAGCCCTGCTTTAACAAAACAAAAACCTCAACATAAAGAAAAGCCAAAAGGCTTGACAAAAACAACAAATTCCCTCATAACAATAGGGAGTTCAGTTTAGCAATAATAGTCTTAGGCAAATTCATACAAGCCAATAAGTGCAAATGAACAGCACACAAAACATATCTCACCATCAAAACTCTTCCCATGCTAGACAAGAGTCTAGTGTACCACCCTTCTAATCTCTGCCTAAACTGAATAAGAAGCCCTTCAAAATAATGCAGTCTAACCCTCCCTTGAGTTACTCGACATCCCAGATAAGTAAAGGGACAAGACTTAGTAAGGATACCAGCTAAACTAGAAAGAACATGTTTTCTTTCAGATGAAATAAACTTGGAACAAAACAGCGAGCTCTTCGACAAACTGATCCTCTGCCCAGAACGCATTTCATATCTCTTCAAAAATTCCATCAAATTCTTCAATGATCTTTTATCCTCCCTCAAAAAGATCAAAGTATCATCCGTAATGCAAATGACTCAACAAAGAAGCTCCTTTTCCAATGTGAAAGTGCTTGACCAGACCCTGCTCAAATATTCTTCTCAGTCCCCTACTTAGCACCTCCTCAGCTAGGATAAAAAGACAAAGATATAAAGGATCCCCTTGCGTCAATCCCCTAGAAAAAGGAAAAAACCCCCTTCTCACTCCATTAACATTCACAGAAAAGAATTGGCTCTCCAAACAGTTAGCCACCAGTTGAACAAATAAGGGGGAGAATCCAAAACAGTCCAGCACCTTTAATAAAAAATCCCACTCAAGTCTATCATAGGCCTTCATCATGTCTAATTTCAATATCAAATTTCAAGCCTTAACTCTCCTATTAAGCTCTCCCAGCATCAATTGAGCAAGAGACACACAATCCCTTCCATTTCTCCCCTTAATAAAACCATGTTGTTCATGAGAAATCAATCCAGGAAGTAGAACAGAGTCTAGTGGTCAACAATTTAGCAAAGATCTTGTATAAAAAGTTGCACAGACTTATGGGTCAAAAATCTGAGAAAGAGGCAGGATTTGTCTTCTTAGGAATTAAGATAAGTAAAGTGACATTTACAGACCTGGGAACAGAACCTCCTCTCAAGAAAAGATTAGGAATAACATGTCTCACTTCCTCCAAAGAAGCCAACCTAACAAGGTCAGCATTCTGGATATCAATAATCAGTTTAGGAATAACATAGAGCAGATCCTCTTCAATCTGATGAGATTCAGATTTATAAAGAGAAGAATAAAACTCCTCTACCAACCAACCAATATCCTCTTCAGACTTCACCACACCCTAGCTGCGTTTTGAATTCTACAAACCCTATTTCTCAAAAAATTGCTTTTAGCTAAGGCATGATAAAAACGTGCGTTCCTCTCCCCTTCCGTAGCCCATTTCAGATTAGCTTTATGCCTCCAGTAAATCTCTTCTAATCTCAAAATTAAATCCAACTCCCCCTGGATTTTTTCAACTTTCTTAAGATTCTCAGATGAAACATTCTGTTCCACATCCATCTTAGCAGTAGACAACAACTCCACCTCCTTTGATTTAATCTTCTCATAGATATTCCCAAACACCTCAGTATTCCAAGGCTTTAGATGATACTTGACATTTTTCAATCTAAGAAATAAATTTTGGATAGGATTCTCAGAAAGAAAACCCCCCACTACGAAGCCACCAAGGACAGAAAACCCTCATGCTCTAGCCACATGTTTTGAAACTTGAAGTAGGAAATTCAATGTTGTTGATCATTAAACACTCTGACTAGCAAAGGAGAATGATCAGATCTCCCCCTAGCCAGATGCAAGATTTCTGTTTTACCCAAACTCTCACCCCAGACGGCATTCAGAAGGGCCCTATCAATCCACTGCCCAATTCTAGCATTCCCATCATAGTTATTACACCAAACCCTAAACCCTTAAACCCCAAACCCCAAACCCTAAACCCTTTTTTTTTTTTAACGTATAACACATCTACCAAGTAAATATCCAGAAATAAAAAAGGATAAAAACAAGTTTACCCCAACCAATCAAACACACCGAGTTTTTTTTTTTACACTCCGATAGTTGGAAACCTTAAACCCCTAACCCTAAATTCTTTTTCTTTTTTTTTGGCAAACCTTAACGGTACGAGAGAATTTCAATACACCTAGAATTTTATTTATTTACAATAAATAAATTAAAGAAATAAAAGAAAGCAAAATGCATGCCTCTTGCAATAAATGAATAATAAAAAAGAAAAAATAACCTAAGCATGCTGCCTTTAAAATTATAACAAGTCCAGCTGATGTAAAACCCTAAACCCTAAACTATGTTTACCCATAACAAAATAAAAAAGAAAAAATAACCTAAGCATGCTGCCTTTAAAATTATAACGAGTCCAACTGATGTAAAACCCTAAACCCTAAACCCTAAACCCTGAACTATGTTTACCCATAACAAAACGAGATTTGGGCAAAGTCTCCTTTGTATGGGAACTCTATTACTCACTTATTCAGCCTCATTGTAGAGGCGACTTAACCTCAAACAATTTCATTTGAGTTTATTTTCAGGAACAATGCAATGAAAAATCATGAAATTGTATGTCTTCAAAAACATCATTCAAACAAATGTTGCAACAAGGTTGGTCATTAACAAAGCAACATCAGGACATATAAGTCAATGCCCTTTGAAATGTCTGTATCACTCTTGCAACGAAAATAATCATACTCAATAGAGAGACAAAGTTGCATTCCAAAAAAAAATAAAGAAACAAAGCTGAATGTTCATCTGTCTCTTCCAAATTTTACAAAACAGGAATGTTGTAAAGAAGGCCAAGAAAACAAATTAGAGATAGGAATAAGACCTTACAAAACTAAGACTCATTCACAAAGTTCTCTGTGAGCTTTTCTTTCCCAAGATTGCCTCCCAAACCAATGGCGAGAACGGTCCTTTCTTGTCCAAAAACTCTGTAACATTTTTCTGATCAAAAAAGAAACCTTTCTGCCTCAATGCTGTGATTGTGTTCCGGGCTTCTTCAACACCTTTCTCCCTGCAAAAACCATCAACCAAACCCGTGAAAGTAGCCAAGTTCGGAGAGTGATTGGCCTCCAGCATCTCCACACAAAAGTCAAGGGCCTCCTCCAACCGATTACCTTTATAGAGCCCCTGGATCAAGACTGTGTAACTGAATGCATTAGGATTGATTCCATTGTTTTGCATTTTCTTGAAAATCCTCTTGGCATCGTCAAGTTTCTGGGCCTTGCTGAAGCCTTCCACCACAGCCGTGTATATCACAACTTCAGGGATAGTACCCTTCTCACGCATCAAACCAAAAAGTTTCATGGCTTCTTGGACCAGCCCATCCTTGCAGAGGCCATCAAGCATTGCCACGGCATTGGGAATGAGACCAGTTTCTTTCATCTTCTTAAAGATCTCATCTGCATCCTGTAGTGGTGGTGGTGGTAAAGGTGGCTCAAGTGCTGCTTGGTGGTCCCGCTTTGCCTCCTCTGCTTCTCGACGGATTTGAGGGGTCGCTGAATTTGGAAGGAAATTTTCCCCTTTATCAAATCTTAGCTTGAATTTTTCAAGAAAATCATCATCACCCAGCTGCTTCTGGCCAAAAAAGGATTTAGGTAGAGAAGATTTATTACCATTCATCTTTTCCTCACTAAATTCGTCCGATGGGAAAAGGTTACTACCGGAAGGCCGATCAGCTTTGTGCCCTGTTCCTACTATCCTAGAAGGTCTATTGTTATAGTTCTTTGAATTCTTCAGGTGGGGGGTATTGGCGGCAGTTAAAGACTTCTCGCATCCGTATTTGTATCCCCCGCCATGCTCATTGTGATCGCTAAGTTGGAACTTTCTAGGCGAAAGACGTTCGCCCCTCAAGGGCCGATTAGGTATGGGCTCTGGAGGAACCTGAGGGGGGCCAATGTCATATAATCGTCCATCACCATCTTTCATCATCTGCTCAGTGGTTCTTCGCTCAGATGGTAATGGAATAGGACCACCATCCATGGAGCTAAAAGAGTGTACTCTCATCGGAAGAGGCATTGCCAGACGACTTCTCAAGAGCAATTGATATAAATAAGGGACAGAATTCGAAATATTCGAACAAATAAGCTTAGAAACCCTACCTCGACTTCTCAATGCCACTAGTGCCATGTTTCGTTGACAACAAAAGACCTGTTTAAAAAAAGAAAAGAAAAGAGTGAGGAAAGCCCTTTCTCTTGAAATTAGATGTTCTTATAGAAATAGTTATTTTCACACCACTAATTAGAGTCCATGTTTGAGAGATAATTAGAATGCACTGGGCCACAAGATTGACATAATGTATCACGTAATCATATAAAACCGATGAAAATGTCTCTTAACAAAGAAAAATAGTATGTTGATCAAATATCTAACACTACAAGAAAGTTTTGAGCAACTTAGTGAAGGGTTGGCATGAAAACTATTTTCAATGGCAGAACCATGAAATCCTAGTTCCTCCACAACACCTTTTGAGCAACTTAGTGAAGGGCTTGCATGTAAACCATTTTGAATGGCAGAAATAATGCCTCCTATATGATACTCTTCTGAATTTGAAGGTAGATATCATTAGTATTTAGATAAACAAAGACAAGTATCAGTTCTCTCAAATTTCAATTCTTCACTCAAAAATTAGCACCACTCAAAAGTCAAAACAACAAGTTTGCCCGCTCTTATAATGTCTATCTTCCTTAGATCTGTACACCCACTCCAAAACAATAATGCATGCGTCCACTGCCCTTTTATCAAGAACCCCTTCAACACTCTTTAGCAATTGCACTTCAATATTTACTTTCTACTATTGAATCTGACACAATCAATAGAAGTACTGCATTTTCCCAACCCCAACCCAGCACAAAACAATTAAAATAATTAAAAAAAATGAAACAAAATTCAAATCCTTTTCACTTTACGACATAATGTTTCCATTCCCAACAAAATTTATACTTACTCAACCTGAAGAGAAAACTAAAACCATGTCAAAGTAACCTATAGAGCATTCAAAATTTGGCGGGAGGGGGTGTTGGGTTTAACCACTGCCAAACTCTCTGACACCCAAGTTGTGGTGGCACGGTGGTCCTCAGAAGTGGGGTTTGTATGCGTGTACAGAGAGAGGAGAGGGGGTGCAAAACTCTTTGGGAAATTTCGTCGAGCACGTGGTGGTCGAGTTGGGTGTGGGGGCACTGGATGGTCGCTAGGGTAGAGGCTAGTGCGAGATAGAAAGGGGGAGGGAGAGTACAACAGGAAGAAAGAGAGATACCTCAGGGTCGCTGGTGAGGAGGAGGGCTGCCGATGGTGTTTCGCTGGGCAAAGGCAGTGGACAGAAGCGGCAGTGGACAGAAGCGGCAGTGGATAGAGAGAGAGAAAAGGAAAGGAGCAAAGAGAGGGGGAGTGAGAGACCTGACTGTCGTCGCTGCTCACTGGATCTGTGGTGGCGACTATTGGCGGTAGGTGGCTGGAGAAAAGGTAGAAAAGAGGATAGGAATGAGAGAAGCACAGTTAGAGAGAGAGACGGAGCAGGCAATGGCAATTGCTAGACTGAGGCGGTCTGTGGCGGTGGTTTTTTGCTGGGATGAGAAGGGGAGAGAGGCAAAAACAGATCAGGTGTAGAAAGAGAGACGATTAAATCTGGGATGTGATGGAGCGAAGTGGTCGGAGGTATTGTCTCCGTTCCAATATTTGCTTAAAAAAATTTCGTATATTTTTAGCTTATTAATGGGTATAATTTTTGCCTCGTCTTCGCCTGTGGATAAATTTATAATTTCCGACCCCTCCCCGCCTTCACCCCCACCCCCACCCCCGTACGCACCCAAGCCTAAACCCAAATCAAACTCAAATTCAAGTCAACAAAATATAAAATTTTAAATAAATTTAATATTTTAAATAATCTAACAGCATTCTAAATTATTGTTACTTCAAGATCAGTTATTGTTGCCAGCATTAAGGGGGAGGAAGACTCTGATTTCTGAAGTAGCTGCTTTTACTGATTCTTTTATGGCTTGGAAAATAATTTTTTAAAAAGAAGCTTGCTCTATTGTATTGTTTTGAAGGATTAAAGCTATTTAAGACTTAAATCCTATTTGAATCTTGTAAGATTTGATTTCAGTTTATAAAATTTTTCTTTTCTTAAAAAAAAAAAAAAAAGGAGAGACGATAATCAAAGCTCAGCAAATGATTCGATCAGGGAGGCAACATACCAAGTTAATCTAAAATAGTTTCACGAAAAGAGATGAAAGGTGGAAACTAGACTCTTTCCCAGAAAGCACCTGCCAACTCTAACAAATAAGCCATTTTCCTTCAGAAAGTAGATTTTCTACTATTTGTTCTTCAAAAGACTACCAGACTGATTGGGCTGCAACCACTCAACCTAAAATATAGATCTAATTTCTCCTACCAGTAAACAAGGCCCAAGGTCTATGATGAATCAAAAGCTAATAAAATAAGATAGATCAAGTAAATAGCTTAATTGCAACGAAAAGACGAGCTTTTCCAGAATGTGGCCAGTCCTTTCCAACCATGGTCATGAACTGACCTAGAACATCAAACCTAGAAACAAGCACATTTAACTGTACAGAAAGAGAGAGACAGAACTTGTTTCATGCCGTTTAGTTTGCTATACAGAGATGATGGAGAGAAAGACGATAGAGACAAAGATGATGGAAAGAAAGAAACAGAGCGTAGGAAGGAGACACACCGTGAAGGTGTTCTCGCAGACCCAAAAAAAAAAATGAACGGTTGATAAATAATGAAAAACTTCCATTGTTGATCAAGTCTAACACTTTTTACCGGCTACCCACTAAGTCTTACAAATTCATAAAAAGAAAAACTCAGACGAAGAAGAAGAATGATGGAGTTGCAGACAACAAAACCGTACTATCATTATCCTCTCCTCTCCTCTGTCTCTCTCTCATGTGACACAGTTCCATGATCCATCAGTTATCATTGAAGAAAGTTTAATCATAAGTAAAATAATAGATTATCGACCCTTAATTTATCGTCAATGTTTAATCTTTTGTGTTTCAACTTCCAATTCTTGCCATTTCCTCATAACTACTAAACTTAGATAAGTTGCAACTCATGTGCATTACCAGTGCGGATGGGGGCCAAGAGAGAGAGAAAGCGAGACGGAGCACCTGTCGTGGATTGCATTGGAAGTGGTTGTGGGGAGGGAGACGCGATGGCTGGGCATCGATGATGGGGGCTGTCGCTGGGAGAATAAAAGGTAGCGAGAGAGCTAGGAGAGAAAAAAAGGGGGAGCGTCGAAGGCGAAAATGGATGGGAGGAGAAAATATTCTAAATATCACCATTTAATGGGTTTGACTGTGGTACTGACACCCACTTTTGGGTACGATACCCAAAAAAAATTGAATATATAATGAAGAATTTCCACCGTTGATTAAGTCTAACACTTTTTACCGACTACCCACTGAGCCTTATAAAATCATTAAAAAAAAAAAAAAAAACTCAGACGAAGAAGAAGAAGATGGAGTTGTAGACAACAAAACCGTAGTATCATTATCCTCTTCTCTCCTCTCATCTGTCTCTCTCTCACATGACACAGTTCTAGGATCCATCAGTTATCATTGAAGAAAGTTTAATCGTAAGTAAAATAATAGATTATCGACCCTTAATTTATCGTCAATGTTTAATCTTTTGTGTTCCAACTTCCAATTCCAGTCATCTTCCTCATAAATACTAAACTTAGATAAGCTGCAACTCATGTGCATGACTAGTGTCCCAAATTCCCAATGATCCAATCATAGCAAATTCATAAAAAATCATCATCATTTATTAAAATAAAGATTGAGATTATAGTAAATTCATTAAAAAAAACCTCAAATGACGAAGAAGAAGGAGAAGAGAAGAAGATGGAGTTGCAGAATTATTTTTATCCCTATGAACCCTTCAAGAGATTATAAAATCATTATCATTTATTAAAACTAAGGTTGAGATTATAGTAAGAGAACTACTTTTGTTAGTTAACATTACCATTTTTTTGGTTAAAAGTACCACTTTTTTTGTTACCATTAACACTTTTTTTTTGTTAATATCACTACAAGAATAAGGGTCTTTTGTGACAAATTTTTTACGACGGCTGTATTTGTCGTCACAAAAGATGTATTTGAGATAATTTTTTATGGCAGTTGTATTTGCCGTCACAAAAAGCATGTTTGTGTTAATATTTGTGGCAACTATTTTTTCTACCGTAAATAGTGTCAAACTCAAAAGAAATTTTTGTATTTGAGACAAAATGTTGTTTTAGATTAAAAAATATTTTATAGTTTAAAGAAGAAAAACTCTAAAAAAAATTTGTATTGACCACAATTATTTTTTATGTTACAAGTAATATTTTATAAAATTACGTAGTTTAACATCAAAAGACAATTTCTAGTTCAAAGGAAAAAAAATTAAACTCTACAAAGTCAAGTTTTTATATCAAAATTAGGGGTGACAAAATATGATACGACTAGTTAACAAGATATAAAATTAGTGGATTTGAGTATTCCTTAAACCACCTGTTTAATAAACAAGTGGACTCATCACAATACGATTATAAACGAATCAGGTATTGGTGAAACCAGTTAAAAGAAATGTATACGATATGACTCGTTTATATACCATTTACATAATTGGACAAGCTGTTCAGAGAAATATTGCGTGACCCTTTGCTAATGTATATTCTAACTTCTTTTAGTTATTTATTATATATATGTATATAAATATGATTTCAGTATTGTAACAATAATTTTATAATTTTTCCAGATGTCACTGAGAGAGTAAATGGTTCGGGAATAATGTTCAAATTTTTTGCATTAATTTCTTGTACTCATAGATAGTTATATTTTATAAAAGTGCATATTTTACATTTTGTTTAACTCGTGAAATTATTATTTTTTATATAAAAATATTGCTATGTTTTTGGAAATGTTAATTATATTTTTTTTTTGTGTTTATCTATATATTAAATTGAGTAGTTGTATAGATGCAAATGAGTCTTTGGTCTAATGGTACTCCTTACATTGTAAAAGTTTTGTCTTCTTGAGGTCAAGGGTTCAAGTCCCCTTGCCCCCTCCCCCACCAAAAAAAATAAAAATTGTATAGAGTGTATATATGGACAGGGTATATAATATTGGTTACGAACGATCCATAATAATTCAAAAAAATAAGTGTTTTTTTTTTTGTGGCGACATCGTTGCCGTCATAAATATATTATCTATTTTTTACGACAGTCAAATATGGTATTTGAGGCAGCATTTTTGCCGCCGTGATAAAAACAAACGTATCGGATTTTTTGTGACAATTATTTATGATAGGATCTTGCTTCCGTAAATACTATTTGAGACAGATCGTTGCTGTCGTAAAAATCTTTTGAGACCATACTTATTATGGTAAGGCAATCCCGCCACAACGCCACCACAAAAAGTATTTGTGACGGCAAATAGCTTTTTTATAACAGCATTTTACCACCGTAAAAACTCTTTTTCTTGTAGTGTATTGCCACTGTTTTGTTTAAGAGTATTACTTTTTTTATTAATATTACCACTGTTTTGGTTAAGATTACCACATTTTGTTAACATTACCACTGTTTAAGTTAAGATTATCATTTTTTTTGTTAAAAATACCACTTTTTTGGTTAATATTTCAACTTTTTTGATTAACATTACCACTATTTTGATTAAGAATACAACTTTTTTTTTTGTTAAGAGTGCCATTTTTTTGTTTAGCATTACCACTGTTTTGGTTAATATTACATTTTTTTAGTTAATATTACCACTGTTTTGAGTAATATTACCATTTTTTTTTGTTAAGAGTACCACTATTTTGGTTAAAAGTATCACTCTTTTGATTAACATTACCATTATTTTGGTTAATATTATCATTTTTTTGGTGAACATTACCACTATTTTGGTTAAGAGTACCACTGTTTTGGATAATATTATCACTTTTTTTGTTAATATTACCAGACTGTTTTGGTTAATATTACCATTTTTTTTTGTTAACATTACCACAGTTTTGATTTAGAGTACCACTATTTTGGATAATATTACCATTTTTTTTGTTAACATTACCACTGTTTTGGTTAATAGTACAACTTTCTTAATTAACATTACCACTATTTTGTTTAAGAGTACTATTTTTTTGATTAATATTACCATTGTTTTGGTTAATATTACCATTTTTATAGTTAAGAGTACTAATTTTTTTAATAATATTCTCACTGTTTTGGAAAATATAACTTGGATCGCCTTTGTAGTGATCGGGCATTCACTTAGCGATCAAGTTTGAAGACCAATCTCGATCCCTGGACAAATCTCGATCGCTCAACCAGCGATCAAAATTTTAGTTTGTCGAATAAATTTCACTTATACCCCTAAACTTTCATCTTTTTTCAATTTGACCTCATATTTTTCATATTACACCCTCAACTATATAATTAGTTTCATATTACCCCAATTTTTTTTACCTATTTTAATTTAACACTAAAGGTTTACAAAATATGATAACTTTGTTATAATTTATTTAACGGTGAAAAAATTTGTTATAATAGTTTTAACTTAACCCAAAAATATTTAATTAACATGTAATTAACAAATTAATATTACATTAACACATTCAATTAATCAAATTAACATTAAAATTCAACTTAATTAAT